TAACAGTCAAAGAGCACGTTGAGCAGAAAACTTTAAGAAGCAATCAAATGCTTTTATCTAGGATAAAATGGGAGATTTGAGTCATGAGTAGCACTCTATGTTTGTCCCTCTAAATTTCATTTACTATTTTCTTTTCCTATGTAGGTCCTACACAACACAAATCCATTGCTTTTGTTCTAAGCATTCCAAAATAAATCATAACTTCTGTCTAAAAACATGGGGAAACAGGTCGGAAAGAAACCTCTTGACTCAAATATTGTGTAATTGAGTAGAAAGAGGTGAATATGAACAGTTACAAAAACATAGGGAACAAGGTATAACACATACCAGGAAAAGAGTAACCAATATGCGGATTTTTATCAATTAAATTAGAGTTTCGCCTTTCCCATGTATGAAAAAAATTAAATTAGATTTTCATATTGACAAGGAAATACCGAACCAACCGAAATGCTAATGAAGGGATAACCAATAATCATTATGCAATATTTCAAAGCATGCTAATCAAGCGTTCAGGCTGAGTTAACAGACAATGCCATAAGGGATTTTGGAATTCGTTAGTAGTCTAGCAAGGTGGATGAACCCAATATTTCAATTCATCTTAAACAAGCATTCACACTGAGTTATCAGACAAACCTGATGCGTAGAAGAGCTAGACGAATTCTAGATTCTGGTAGTAGTCGAGCAGAGGCGGCTGAACCGCTTAAGGAAGAGCCGATTGACCCGATCTACGAATCAGGCGAAGAGCCAATTGATCGATGTTGTGAGAGCGCGCGAATAGCAGAGAGCAGAGGCAGACGGACTTCGAATTAGGGGTTCCATTTATGTGAATCTTCATCGTCTTGATTCCAATTCCGCAATTCCCAATAGCTGGGACCAGGGAGTCGGGTGTGGCTAATAAGGTAGTTGGTTATATTGGGGGTTGGTCAGGGTGACGAGAATACTGGATGAGGAAACACCTAACGGAACTAGAAATTGTGTTTCTTAATGGAGATGTACACACTCAAAAAAGGAACAAATAATTAAGCACCAACACAAGGAAGCTATACTATACCACCAACAAAATTTTTATACCTAAAATAGGCTTACCTTCATCCACCCTTATAATTTTGTAGAGATATATTGGGGGTTGCTCGGGGTGCCGGGAATACTGGATGAGGAAACACCTAACGGAACTACAAACTGCGTTTCTTAATGGAGATGTACACACTCAAAAAAGGAACAAATAATTAAGCACCAACACAAGGAAGCTATACTATACCACCAACAAAAATTTTATACCTAAAATAGGCTTACGTTCATCCACCCTTATAATTTTGTAGAGATAGAGAAGAGATATCCAATCGTTCTATCCAACCAACCCATCTTCATCCTCTCAAGTCCCAACTTCAAGGGGCAATGTTGGGGTCAAAGAGAATCGACCCTACCGCAGAGGCAGATGGACTTCGAATTAGGGGTTCCATTTATGTGAATCTTCAATGTCTTGATTCCAATTCCGCAATTCCCAATAGCTAGGACCAGGGAGTCAGGTGTGGCTAATAAGGTAGTTGGTTATATTGGGGGTTGCTCAGGGTGACGGGGAATACTGGATGAGGAAACACCTAACGGAACTACAAACTGCGTTAATGGAGATGCACACACTCAAAAAAGAACAAATAATTAAGCACCAACACAAGGAAGCTATACTATACTATACCACCAACAAAATTTTTATACCTAAAATAGGCTTACCTTCATCAACCCTTATAATTTTTGAACAAAAAAAAAATCCACCCTTATAATTTTGTAGAGATGTAGAGATAGAGAAGAGATATCCATTCGTTCTATCCAACCAACCCATCTTCATCCTCCCAAGTCCCAACTTCAAGGGGCGATGTTGGGGTCAAAGAGAATCGACCCTATTGCAGAGAACATCCGGCAGAGCATTCACCCCAGCCATGAATCGACCGATGCCAGCCCTCGTCCGTCTCATCCGCCTCCTCCGCTCCTCTGCCGCCATTATAAAAGCTTGAATAAAACGGTAATGTACTCCCTCTACTACACACCTCAATATGACAATAAAATGTCAGTAAAACAATGCAATCAGACTTTCATACAACTCAACACATTTGAAACCTACATATTTAGCAAATCTGTGTATACTACTTCCATAGCAGTCTTTTTTTTTATGAAAAAACCATATTCGATTAAACTTGCATTGATTTCATATATCTAAAAAGGTATCACGTACTTTTATAAATCACTGTCTGAAGATTTAATAAGACAACTTATCGGTTATAATTTATTTAAATAGATCTGGTTGCATGCATCATACCCAAAACTCTTCACCGACTATTTTTATCATATTTATCCAAATATTCGAATCTGCAATGACCAATTTGACCGACGATTTTTTTTTTGATAATTAAAAAAATATAACTTTTGATTTTAGTTAACCTGACATTAACCGTGTAGTTTTAAAATATATTTGAAACATTTGAAATTCATATCTAGACATTTTTTTTTGAAAAACATTTCTAGGCAGTTATTTTTTTGGAAATCATTTTTAGACAGTTCTAAAAATCCAAAAAAAAAAATAATTGAACTCACACATAGCGTTAAATAGATGTCATGTGTCATGAAGTTGATAAATACTCAGTATTACTCTGTATTTGACATTATTACGCATGTTGGCTCCCAACATCATTTAAATACCATATATCAGGGGGTGATATATGGTATATTATCCGATAAAAAATGGTTTTTCTTGCACCGTTTTGAATTCTGTCAAAAAAATTTCGCATTCGAACGGAATGATTCACTTCAATTTCTCAGCATTCCTTAATTACCGGCATACGAAGATTGGCATTACTGTTGGTCTGTAACGCGGATTTAAACGTTGAACTTGCTCAACATTCGTTGAAATTGAGTTTTGAAGATTCGCCTCTGTGATGCATTGTTTTTTATTTTAAATTTTGGTCTGTAAGTGTTGTAATAATTAGATATAGGGTAGATTTAGGACACCACATGCTCCTGTGAAAAGACTATAGGTATGCGCTTCTTTGCACATCTCTGTCCCGAATTCTTGTTCTACACCTTTACCTAAAATTGTGCTGCATTTTGTCTACTGCAAAATCTGTTTTCAAAACACACTAATCTTGAATTTTTCATGTTAACCGAATTGCCTTTGAGGTTTACATGTATAAAATTTTAAAGCACTTTTTTTAAAACAAAAAGTCCATGAAAACCATTTATCATTGCATTTTAATTCAACAACTATAACGACTTACAGATTAATCTACACACCTCCGTGATCATAAACTATAAAACCTTACCAACAATATTAGTGAATTAACACTATTTGGCAAATATTTTAACTACTATAGTTTGTTAATTTTGTTAAGTGTTTAATTAACCTACCAATTTTGTAGTGAAGTGTTTTAACTACTAAAGTATCAAATCCGAGTATTAGATACTATACTACAGGATCAGAAGCTTTCCATAGAGGTGTGTAAATTAACACTAGAGTAAGTTACTCGGATCAAAACCTTAACATCAATGGTAGTGAATAATGTTCAATTTGATCCGAGTAGTATATACTTTCAGTGATGATTGAGTAATATATTTTCTATTCGGTGGACTTCACCTAATGCTTTCCTGCATTCCGGGTGTCCATTGTATTTATAGATGAAATTAATACAAAACAGAGGTGAAATAGTAGATATCAGTTTAATCCAAATATTGTATTTCTTTGTTTCTTATCTCCATCAATTCACTTACCAAAACATGCATAATAGGGAGCCCTGAAAAGTGAAATGTGTATGCATTTTGGAGCCCTGAAATTCAAAACACTTTAATCTTAAATTTGTTTTTGAAATTCATGAAAACAATAGAAATAAACATTGAAATAAAAAAAATACAAACCTTCTTGTCATGAAACAAAAATCTTCATTGATTGTTCAAGTGGGTTTACTCTGATCAATCTCATGGAATAGGGACTCCACTGGAGCTCAATGCCAACCATTTTTATTTACTTTTTCTTGAATTTTTGTTTCTTTTTAGTGAAGAGATGTGGGGATAAGAACACATCCGCTGCTCCATTTATAGCTAAAGAGTTATGCCTTGACAATGAAATTAAACAGTGTGCACCTCCAATCCAACCAATAGGAAATGGCTATGGGTTTAGGGGGGAACACTGTTTACTAAAATTTTAAAGTGAAACAGTAGAACCCAATCATCCCCCAATCTCCGTATTAAAGTTACTGTTTAAAGAAAAAACAGCCCAATGAAACGAAACCATGGTCATTTGGAAATCTTGAAGAAATCAATAAAGCATTTCACCTGCTGGAAAAATCTAGATGAAATCCCGAGTGGCCCAATGCACCATTAGTTCATTTCATGCAAAACTAACATACATGGCTCTCTAACTATCACACACAGCCTCTAGCGGTATGGAATTAACAACAAACAAATGACAGTGACATTTTTGAGGGGGAAAAACCAACCCAAAAACATTTTGCTTTTAGATTGTAATAGATAATAGATTGTTATACTGAGTACACAGTAGTATAGTACCAAGTATGTAGTAGTATATTAGGGCCTTTTGTTTTGTCAAATAGGGCCTTTAATTTGTCGTAACATTCCGAGTTGCCTTTAACTTTCTAGGCCGAACGTGATCTATGTCCTCGACAAGAATGTGTGAGTACAAATACTCCGTATAGTACTTGTAAATACTCTCTCCGTCCCCCAATTAAGTTCATGATTTAATTTGACAACATTATTTAAACATTGTTTGACACTGTTTGGATACTGTTTGACACTGTTTCGATGTAGATGTTTTGTCAAATAAGAAAAGTATTGAAGTGTGAACTTAATTTAAAGACTGTCGAAAAAGGAAAGTGAGAACTTGATTGGGGGACGGAGGGAGTTAAGAGTATTAATTTTTTTTTCAATAATGTGTGCTTACAAGTTTTTTTCTTCTTCGTTTTTTAGATAAATTGAAGCCCATCTTCGTTTTTTTTAAGAAAATCCTGTAGTGATTCAAAGAGGAAGAACCAGGATGAACGCAACTCTCGTCCTCACATTTCTTCCACCAAAGGTCTCCACTGTTATAACTGCACCTACGCTGCACCGCAACACTTCTCTTCTCGCATTCACGAAGCCTATTGTAAGGAGGCCCATTCCTCAGAGGTTTGACATCCGAGCATGGACCGACGACGGGGATGCGGACGGTGGAGTTTCAGACTCTTATGATATGGAAGAAGAAGATGATTTCGAGGAATCTGACAACAAGAAAGACTACGACATTGACTATGATACCTCCACTAGCCTCTCCATTTCCGGCGGTGATGACGACATTACCATGGTCAGCAGCAGTAGCTTCGTCTCCACCCAAGGATGGGACTCCGAGAAAACAGTCGATTACCGTATTAACGAAAATGAATTCCACAAAATTAGCCTCTTTCATTGCGACTTCTTCATACGCAAACCTCCTGACCCGGACAACAACGTCTATGATTTCCGAGAGGTGCGCGCATCATTCTTTTTGTCTTTTTGCATATTCTTTATTACACCAGAAATCCATTTCCTCCTTTTGTGTTCATCCTTAATCACTCGCGCTGCTGTTTGTGTCATTTTGAAAAACTAACCTATAGCTAAAAGGGGAGACTCTTCCAGAATGTGGAAGGTTGGATTTTTTGGTGGTATATCTTATAAGGATGTTTTTGCTTTGGACTATTTTCAGTCCGAGATCAGACCATAACAGTTCAAATCAGACTCAGATAGTTATAATATACACAAATAACATACATTTACGAGACCAGTTCAGACAAAAAAAATTCAGTCCAAGTAAAAACACCCTAAGTGTAACTGTATAAGTATTTTGTTTATGTGAGAAGATTTTGTGTAAGAACCTAGCTACACAAGAAGTTTTGAGGGGCTTATGATTTATGATAGTGGATGTTAGTTTTTTATGACTATGAAAATGTTGGGTTATGAAAATGGGGTTCATAGTCCTGTGCCTCGTAAAATAGCGAGGCGCATAGTCAAATTTCCCCATTTTTAAATTGTAGGTGAGGTGCAAAGTCAAATTCTCCTTTTTAAATTGTTGGGTTAAAACCTCTGTGGAATATATTTAATATCCTTTTTGAAATTATCGTTGGAGATTCTCTAGTTATATTTTTTATTGCAGATGTATGTGACTCCACCAGATACTGATGTGTATGCAATCCCCCAAGTTCTTGCACCTATGCCTCAAAAGGTAGGTGATTTACTTCGCTGAAGTTTATCACTTTACTTGTTTGGCACCTGTGCTATTCCCCCCCCCCCCCACACACACACACCCACACTCTACAAGTGCGCGCGCGTATATTGAGTACCAGTACCAGCATTGATGTACTAACCTTCAAAGTATTAACGGGTTGGTGCTTATACTGTGTTGGATGATTCATTGCTATCAATGTAGTATATTAGATGTGCACAGAGTGAATATGGGTTATGGAAGGTGACAGAGCCTCCAGTTGACGCACCTAGAGATCCATTGTACAAGTCTGAGAGGGAAGTGTTCAAGGTATGAGCAGAGTAGGTTCCATTTTCTATGCTACAGTAGTCATGTCATCAAATTTGCTTGATTTCCTTAAAAAAATAGAATAGCAAATAAATGTGTAATATATTTGAACACAGGGTACACCAAAAATAAAAATAAAAATAAAGAGGACAATGTTAAAACTTTGGAATTGGTTCAATGAAGAAGGTATTCAAAAACAATAGTTCAGCCGTCACTGCAGAATACTATATACAGTTTGAAGAACATAATAATTTCCATCTTCAAGTGGCGTACCACCATCTTTCCTTCACACCTTTGACGGTTGAAATATTTAACTGAAGGTTAAAGATATGAAGTTCCAGCAGGATGATTCTTGTTCAGTTGTAAAATTATCTGCCACCTTTATGTAAAAATGTAAGCTACTAGATTCTGGAGTGCTTCATAAATCGTAGTACTATCACAAGTTAGTATGATGAGTCTAAATGTAGAATGGTCACGTGTTGTACAATACCACTGAGGATTAATTACTAATAATCTACTTTCTTTTCTGTTGTTGTGGTGAATGGTGTTCTTTTTCTTCTGGCAGGTATACTTGACAAAGCACTTCCGAAACCGCAGAGCAGGTGATTCAGATTTTCTTCTAGATTTTGAGGAGATTTATGTTATTGATTCAAAAACCAAATCTATTACAAGAGCTAAAGTGACGGTAAGAAGCTCCACATATATACCAAAGGTTATATATTACTCCGTATAACTTTGTGTTTTACGGTAGTTGTTCTATACACCCATATAAAGTAAAAACGTATATAATGTCTAACATGATACATTGATAGCCAAGTACACACACATTGCCCCATGCACCCCTTTTTCATTACCACCACCATCATCATCATCAACTTTCACTGTAATCCCTACGTAATTTTCTAAAAAATACTCCCTCCATATTTTAAAGATTGTTAGTTTGCTACAATAGAGTTTGGCACATTATATAAGGAGGAAATAGTAGGGTAATGAATAGTGTTGAACAAGTTGGAGAGAGGTTGAAAAAGTATGAAAGAAAGATAAAAAGTAGAAAAAGTAAGAGTAATTGAGCATTTTAAAGGAAAAAGTTACCAAAAGAGGAAAATGTAACAACAATTTAAATACATCCCAAAAAGGAAAGTGCATTAAACATCTTAAGCTTTGCAAAAGCATATATTGACTAAGTCTTACACTTGATTCCCTATATCACAAATTTTATGGAACTCCAAAACCATTATCATCATGTGCATGTTCTTGACTTCTTTTAAGTTGAATGAAAAATATCTAGAAACGACAATGAGTTGGGATAGATCTTTAGTTGTGTCCAAGTTCAACTTTGCAAGATTAAAGGGTTGTCTTTAAATCAACGTACAATAAAATATGGAATCATGAAGTTAATCTAATTGAAAAAAAGACCCCCTACTTGAGCGTAATATTAGCTATTTACTTTGCACTTAAGCAAGAATAGGGAAAGTTCCTGAAATAGGAGTAATTTTTTTTGGAAATTCCAAAATATGTCAGCTATGTTTTTCTTGTCGAAATAGGAGTAATATGACATTATTCACTGTCATCGTGGAGTCATTACTTCTAAAATAGTTGCAATACTAAACATTAACATGGCAATATTTACTGCCATTAATGATGTTAGGAACCTGGTATAATCTGAGCACAAACAGTAACAACCAAACACAGATCCGATAACAAAGAGGGAAATAGGCGTATATTGATAGTGAATGTCTCGACTTAGGCAACAAGGCAACTCAGGCAACTGGGTACACTCCAAGGCAACAATACATGCAAAATAACCGTCACCCTACAATAGCTATTCCCCCTTCTATTTATAGCCAATATCCACATAAGGAAAGGCCATCTATTACTAATAACCCCTTCCCTTCTAAATAAACTACTACAAGCACCTTTACTATTTCTATTATTATTTCTTATTAATTAATAGCCTACTAAGACATAATAGAAATATGAGAGAGATAAAGAGGTAAAGAGTGAATTCTCATTATTCAGATACAAGCAGCAGTACAAGTATTTATAGAGTTGGCTTAAGTCATAACAAACTCAACTGACTTATAACCGAGACTCTAACAATAGTTAAAACTATTACATATAGTCTATTTAGAGTATATCTAATATTCCCCCCCTCAAACTTATTGTGAGGTACTGATCACACTAAGTTTGTCTCTTAGAGCAACAAAGCTGGAGCTTGAAAGTGGTTTTGTGAGGATATCAGCAATTTGATATTGGGAAGGAATATGATAGACTTGAAGCTGCTTCAACTGAACTTTCTCCCTGACAAAAAATAGATCAATCTCCATGTGCTTGATCCGAGAATGCAGGACTGGATTGTGAGCAAGTTGGACAGTACTGAGGTTGTCACAATAGACTTTAGGAATAGAAAAGGGTACTTGTAGTTCTTTGAGAAGAAATTGAATCCATAATAATTCTGCAGTAGTATCAGCAAGACTTCTGTACTCTGCTTCAGCTGAAGATCTTGCAACTCTGAGTTGTTTTCTTGACCACCATGAGATAATATTGGGACCAAGAAAAACACAAGAGCCAGATGTAGATTTTCTGTCTGTAGGGTCAGATGCCCAGTCTGCATCACAATAGGCTGAAATAGGAAGAGGTATGGAGTTTAAGGGAAGAGGTTTGATTACAAGACCATGTGAAATACTGCCTGATAGGTATCTGAGAATGTGTTTAACAGCCTGCCAGTGTTCTTGTAAGGGTTTTGCCATGAATTGACAGACTTTGTTAACAGCATAGCATATCTCACTATCTCAGGTCTAGTCAAAGTGGCATACTGTAAAACACCCACAACAGATCTGTAATGGGAAGGATTAGGAAGATAATTATTGCCTTCTTGAGTGAGTTTGCATGTACTGACCATTGGTGTGGCTACCCCTTTTGAATCAATCATACCAGTTTGCTGAAGTAGATCCCTGATGTACTTGGTTTGAGATAAATGTAGACCTCCATCAGAAAGTTTATGCACTTCTATCCCCAGAAAAAAGTCCAAATCTCCTAGATGTTTCAGAGAGAAAGATGAGTCAAGTTTATGAATGAGTTGATTGATGGCAGAAGGTTGGTTGCCAATGACCAAGATGTCATCAACATATATTCCTATCATTTCTCCCCCCTAAATAACCACCTTGCCCTCAAGGTGGGTGATAAGAATCAGCCAAGATCTTCCGCTTCCACTTCATTCTTGCACCTCTCCCTTCCCAATACATCCTAGCTTGCTTGACCATGACCTTCATTGCTTGACCTTTCATCTTTACATCTTTCACAGCAAACAGGGGCAGAAACTGGATATAAGAACTCCATCCACGTAATCCCTGCACCTCACTGTGGTCATCACTTTGGAGTATTATTCCTTCAGGCTGCTCTAAAACTTCTAGAGCCTCCATGCTGCCAAAAAGATCTGCCCCGAAAGTAGCCTGTAGTATCTCAAAAACCCTAGGCATATAGTGGTTGATAAGTGACACAATTAAGTCCTTGATATGTGGCCAGTTGCCCCCAGAGTCTGTATCAGTTAAGAACTGTGAAAGTGCTTGACACACATTCGCCATTACAGGAGGAGGCACATCCATGCAGAGTACGTTAACAGCCGCATACACAAATTGCTTTGTACTTCCATGGCGGATTATAGATGAAAACTTGGCAACGGATGAGGACATACTAGCATTAGCAAAAGGATATTCATCAACCCCTGTGGCAATGTCTTTTATACTAATCTTCTCCCAATTCTTTCCTACAGTAGCACCACAATTTTCAGAAACCCTGGTTGCCAATATCTTCTCTGACACTGAAGCTGCATTGAAAAAGGTAACTTCCTGTACAGCAATGACACCATATGCCCACTCTTCCAAATTATGCCCAATAAGCTTCACCAACCTCTTGCTATCCAAAATTGTTAACAAGAGCTCATATAGACTACCTGAAAGCATTTTCAGTTTGCAGCTATGAAAGGGAGCATCGGAGTGCAAGAAATTCCTTGAAGGGTAAGCAGCCAGAGCCCAAAGAGACGCAGGATAATCACTCAAATCAGTATAAGATCTTCCAACACGTGTGTTGAGAGTCACCATGTACTCAAAGTTTGTACTCTCTTTTCTCTTCCAGCTATCCCTAGAGATTTCAGCCCGCATTTTGTGTATTCCAAGGTTTTCAGGAATCTCAGAATCTGAAACCATTGCTACCAAAAAGGAAGCTGGATGAATACATTCCAACACATAAAGCAAGGATCCAAGTTGGCCATTCTTGTTTTATACGTAGCATTTGAATAAATAATGTCTCATTGTGCTTCCTAAATCTGTAAAGGAAACGACAAGGATTCAAAACCCTCTTCAGAGATTACAGAGAAGACGATGCCAGCCCTTACTAAAACAACAAAATAGGCACTAGCTGCATCCGAATTCGATTTAAAACCCTCTTCATCCGGAGAACTTCTAGGCTTTTGCGGCTATTGAGTATTGGCTACCAAGACAAAAGCCTCTTTGTTCAACGATTGCAAAACAGGGACCATTGACGCCTTCTTGAGAGGCGACCTCCCATGAGAAAATGAAATGGGTGTATTTCAACAGTAAAGCCAAAACAATGATTAACCGTGCCGTTGAAAATCGAAGGTCTTCAAATCTGAGATTCTGAAGAAGCCTGAGAGGACTGATAGGTAATCATTCAAGCATCTGCAGTTTCCAGCCTTGGAAGAAGCCGAAGACGCAAGATGTTAGGCGAAAAAGCCCGTGTAATTTGTGATGAACCGGCACAAGTGATACTTGTAAAAAGCTAAATAATTGTCATTGTCGAGGGTTGTAGTCCATAGCTGTCCGAGATGGAGTTTCTAGTAAAGATATGTGTGGCTGAAGCACAGAGAAGTTTCCCTGGTCAAAGGCCAACGAGGAGTACTCTTTAATACGGAGTATAAAAGACGGGATACGGGTATTGCAATTTTGCAAATTAGGGTGGGGAACTCACACTAAACGAAAGTTTAGGATATTTTGGCTATTTTCCCCTTTAAAATATAATAAGTATATTTAAATTAAATAGAAGCTTTGTTTAACTTATTAAAATCTAATGAGTATAATTTAATCTATTAAGATTATTTAATTGTCTAAATAGTATACTCACAACAAATTTTAATATATTTATATTATACTAAAATCCAAAAACTTTGTTTACTGTTTTATAGCTTCTATTGTTGCAAACTTTGTTAAGCTTGTTTAATGTTATTGAAGTTATGGAAGTTAATTGTTTAATATTATATTACTTATATTTATACTTATTAAAATCTACTCCCTCCGTCCCCTTTTAAATGTCTCATTTTACCATATTGGGATGTCCCTATTTAATTGTCTCATACCTTATTTAGTGAAGTTTGTCTGGCTCAAAATCATTCTTACTTTATCAATTAATATCAATCACACAAACCCACTTTTCTTAAAACTCGTGCCACCCTCTTCCGGGACATTTAAAAGGGGACGGAGGGAGTATATGTTTATGGTTCACTATACCATAAACAAAGGGTACAACGTACCGTGTACCAAAATCGCGTATCGAAGAAGCCTACCCCCCTACGTATCGGATTTCTAATATTCACGATCCGTGTTACCATTTTCGTACCGCGTACCGAAGCGTACCGCGATCCATGTGACTATGATACTAACAGTCCCTGCACCAAAATATAGTGAATTTGTTTTCACACTGCTCCATAGTTGTTCCACTTCCTGAGATATTGCAACATCATCTACTGGCCGATGCATTGAGGTAACCATATCTATAATGTCTTGTTTTATTTCATTTTCTAGGGCATTGCTGAACGCTGCATCTCTTATTCCGCCATTAATTTCATTTGTAGAAATTATATACGAAGTAGCTTGAGATTCATCTGCTTTTCCAGTGACCATAAGGATTTCCTTCTGAACAGATTTTGTACAGCAAGTTACACGTACATCAGAACCTTGAGTTCTGTCCACATGAAGCTCAGTACTGACAGGACCTTCTACACTAGTATTTGCAGTTAAATATGCCATACCTTTAGAGGTTTCAGAAACCACTTGGTTCTCCAATTCAAAACGAGGAAATTTATCATCATCCAATTCATTTTCCATGGTAATCCAGGTTTGAGTCACCACAGAAAATTGCTCATCGTGTCCATTGTCACCATGGCTAAACTTGTCTTCAGAGGAAGGTTGCCGCAGGTTAACAGATTCCTGCTGCGATGAAGATAGGTGAGGAGAAACATATTGCAACGAATTGGGAGACGACAAGGTTCCACACTGCGAACTGGATGAAGCTAGAGATGAATTCAACGAACTGGGATAAATTGGCCTACAGCATCTAGGAGGGCTCCTCGCTCGGCCTCTAGTTCTCCGGCGATGTTGTTTACGTTGTTGACGCAGCTCCATGCGAAACTCGTCCAACCAGATCCTCCACTTTTTCTTCCAATCACTTTCTACCTTTTCCTTGTTCTCCGCCCTCTTCTCCTTGTTCACGCACTTCTCCAGGTTGACGCACTTCTCCGGGTTCTAGCGATTCTCCCTGTTTGAGTGCTTCTTTAATTTTCCGCGAGAAACATCCTAATCGGATCTTCGATGTGGCATGAGCTTCTCCTTCTCCAGTTTTTCGCGCGAACCAGAGGCGGCCAGTTCTGACCGTCGATCTTCTTTGCGCAAACCAAATCGCTTCTCCGTATCTGCGGGCGAACCAGATGCGGCTACCTGATCTGCATGCTCACGTTTCTCCACCTTATGTTTCCTGCGCTGCTCCATTTGTTAATCGGCTAATAGCATGAATGTAGACGGAAGATTCCCTGGGTCGACTGCTCTAATACCAATGATAGGTACAAGCAATTCTGGCTATGAATTGTTGAAAATGAACACTGAAATTGAAGAAGTGAAAAGAAACGATACAGTTGAAGGCAAATTCGAGAGTGCCCTCGGTCTCTCCCAGGTCCCAGTTCAGATCCTAAGTTCTGCCTACCTTTCTACTCACAGCTCACCCTATTTATTCTTTTTCGAATGGGCCAGCCGACTTTCATTTAGTTATAGAGCCTAAACCATTGTATTACACAATATTAAGGCTTAATTGTATTCTTATTCTATCATTATTTTAAGTCTCTATCACCAAAACGCCCATTTTCCAGTCCTGAGAGTCATTTTAAAACTCCACAACGATACGATGGTGTGCACTCAGAGATCAGGTCTAAGGTAACAATGTTCTTGACATCAATTCCTCCTTCCATTTGAGGCAAACATCCCTACTGTAAGAGCCATAATGAATATGATTTGGGTAGGCTGGAAACACCTCCATTGGTGGATTAACGTGAAACTTTGTGTGTGACATATAGATTGCTATAATAGCTTATCAAGGCACCTTTGTCTTGGCATTAGGTAAAATAAAATAGTGTTATGAGCTTTTTAACTTCTTTGTAGAGGCCCAAGTTGGAAGCTCGACTACATGCCAATTAGAGCCATTTCGCATTACTCGCTTAAGTTTATTTTATGTTGGTTGATAAATGTCTTCTGTTGCTAATTTGGTTACTCTAAGTACAAGGTGTTATTTAAAATTATCTGAAACAGGTGAAAGTTCCAGAAGGAAGGTCCAGGGATAGATATAATGATTTTCTTGTCATTCATGATAATGGAAACTCTTTCAAAATAATCCCATCGGTAACTATTACCATCATAACTATGATCCTTGTGTTTTCTACCATATTATCTGCCTGCTACTGGAAGCTGTTAAAACTGTTTGCGTGTTTATTTTTTTCTTTTTTATAGGAAGATAGAGAGAGCCCATCGGATGTGATCCAGAGAGAAGAGTGGAATGATTCACGAGAAGAAATGGAAAAGCACCTTAGTAAACTTAGAGATTTCAGCGTGTCAAATTGGTTTTAGCTCAAGATATTTGATCTTTCTATGATATGGTTTGTTCGTGAATGATACATGTCTTCGTTTGCTCATAGGATAATTTTGCAACATTTTAGCTACTTATTTAGATTTAGTCTTAATGAGAATATAAAAGTATGTTCCCCAGCCAACCACAATATAGAGTTCAAGAATTATTAGGATATTTGACCTTTTACAAATTTTAAATTTCAATTTAATAGGGAGTAGGGAGTACTAAAGACATTCCAAGAGTCGTGACAAGGCAATAAACTCAATAAGAGTCGTCCAAAGAGTTTACAAGATGGATTATGACAATTCTGAATTGCCCTATTGTGAATGTTTACTTCATCAAATAAATTTTAAGTAATGGAGATATTGTCATTATTAACTTGATCAATTTTGTATTTATAAATTGAAATATGATAAACATAATCAATGCAGTGTTTTCACCTTTGTTCCAGTAGTGGTGTCATTTATAAGCTTTTTAGACATAAGGTGGTCAGGATGTCATGTGGTGCAAAATGCAAATGTGCAATATTTATTAAGAAATATACTTAGGGTGTGCGTTTTTACTTGGAACTTATTTTATTCTCAGATCATATTACATTTTGACAGTTGTGAAATACATAAAGATTAGACATTCACTAAATTAGGCCAATTCAGAGCAGATCGGATTAGATCCGACCATAATTTTTTAGTCCAAGTAAAAACATCCTTAATACAAAAAAAAACTAAAAAGTAATTAAGTTTGATTTGTACTTTAGAATCTTCATCAGTGTATATGCGCACCAAATTTTTTTAATATGTTATTCTATGCATGGACCCGGGCAAGGCCTTAGTCATGGACTGAACCAGGCCCGGTTCCGGGTCGGGCCTAGGCCCGGCCAAGCCCAAAAAAAATTCTGTGAGAACCGGGACCGGCCTAGTAGTTGACCGGTGCCAGTCCGGGCCGGGTCGGGTCTGGTTCTATTTTTTTTAATGATTATTTTTATCCCCCACCCCTCCCTCCCACAAACCCATATGAAAGATCCATTCCAGCCCATATAAACCCAGCCCAAAGCCCCAAACCAACAAAAAACAAAAAAAAAATGAAAGGCCCGAACTGGGCCCGAAACCGGCCGGGCCGGTTCTCATTTACCTAAGCCCGTACCCGAGCCGATTACCCACCCCAAATCGGGCTTAGACCCAGAACGGTACCCGGTTCCCGGGCCGGGCCAGGTGGCCCGAACTGGGTCCAAGCCTACCGGGCCTATGCCCGGTTGGGCTTTTGAGGGTTGGGGGAAGGCCCGGAACCGGCCCGGGTTGCCATCGGGTATGGGCCGAGCCTCGGGCTTCTTAGTTTTTATTTTTTTGCTTTTCTACTTAACCCCCACCCTCAAACCCCTCAAAACTCCCCAACCCATAATAAACAAAAAAAAAAAGTGAAAAAAGGCCCAGAACCGGGCCCGGCCCGGCTGGACCGGTTCGTCTTTTGGGTGACCCGAGCCCGCACCGTAAAACCCCCGGGTTGGGCCTACCCGGACCGGTCCCTGGCCGGACCACCGGTTCGGGCCGGTTCCAAACAGTGCCGGGGCGGGTCCGGTTCCGGGTCGGGCCACACGGCCCGAGTCCATGCCTATGTTATTGTTTAAACCGTAAGCTGTAATAAAAGTACAATTTTATTTCATATTGTCATTACTATACATGGTAAAACAGTAAATGAATAGAGATGTCTAAAATGACCAATTTTTTTAAAAAGGTTCGAGATTGATGGAGTATCAAAAATAAAATCATGATGTGTACTACACTACATCACAAACTCTTAACTTATTATTCTCTAGAGAAATCATCTCATCAGGCCGGCCTGACGGGCTGCCCCGTCCGGCCGAGCCCGTTTGGGCACCTTCCCGGTGGAATTTTTTGATGAAATTTTTTGAGCATGTTCCTCATCAAGTCTAGTTTGTCCATACCAAATTTCAGCTCAAAATTCGATCGGGAAGGTCGTCAAATGATTTTTGCAAGTTAACTGGTCCGGAAAATACATATTACGGACCAGTTAACTTGCAAAATTCATTTGACAACCTTCCCGATCGAATTTTGAGCTGAAATTTGGTATGGACAAACTAGACTTGATGAGGAACATGCTCAAAAAATTTCATCAAAAAATTCCACCGGGAAGGTTCCCAAACGGGCTCGGCCGGACGGGGCAGCCCGTCAGGCCGGCCTGACATGAAGTTTACTCTTACTTTATATTATAATGAAATATAAATGATAGATAATGTTATTAAACTTATTGGACTACTCTTAATTATTTAAGTTTATGGATGTAAATTCATTAGACTTATTTTAGTTGATGACTGAGGATGTTTTGATTAAATTAACTAAAACTTTCTAGTCAAGTGTGATTTCATCTAGTCTGAACTGGTCTGGTCTAGTAAATATATGGTCTCTATATATTTTATAATTGTCCAAATCTGATCTAATCTAGACTAGTCTCATCTTGTGTGACTTGATATGAACTGGTCTGATATGGTTTATAATTGAAAACAGTCCAAGTAAATATACCTTTAACTGAAATAGTTGTATATCTAGTAGACACTAGACACTAGTTTTTTTAAATAACTTTGTATGTTATTGTAGACAAATAAATAAAATATATTAATGTACTAAAAATATAATGGATCTCTTCCAAACGATTAAAATTCCGTGTGATTAACTGTGATATATTTTGTTCAAAATTTTAATATCGTAACAATAAAAAAATTTGTGATGTATCTTTTACTTACTCCGCCCCCAATAAGCGTTTTTCCTGGATCCGCCACTGCTGTAAGATCATTTGGAGTGGTAAGATATTAGGAGTTTATAATGTTAAAAATGACATTTTTAGACTCCTAATTTCATGCATTGGTTGATTGAAGAAGTATTAAAAATGGGTTTGGGAGGGAAGGGGTTATATTTGGAGAAATTTGGACAACAAAAAATGAAAAAGAAATAAAAAAGGAAAAAAGGGGCGGATGGCAGGTATGTGCTGGGGAAAGAGGCCAGCTGGCCAAGTGTGCAGGGGATTATTTGTCCGATGTCATGATGATGTCGTGCTGGTGTCAAATAGCACCTACAACATTTTTTTAAAATATTGGTAGATTTGACGGCTGTGATAATTTGGACACTGATAGAACTGGAAAAAATTGACCCAAAAGCTGAAATTTAAATCCTACGATTAAAATATTTTTTTCTCCATTATTTTTAATCAATATTTTATCCGGCAATCCTATATAAACACCCCAATGTGTTTAAAATCATTTCAATGAAAAACTTAAAAAAAATATTAATGAAATTTATTTATTTTTATATCGAAATGTGTCTTTTTATTTTATAATAAGGTTTTTTACAAGAATATTACTAAAAAAACTTGTTTACATAAATATGACTATTCATTACTACACCGTAGTGTTGTGGTAACTTAAGTTCAAAACTTGAACATGAATTACTATGATTTCATTACTACTCTAGTAACTAGTCAGTAGTCATATTTTTGTAAACCATGTAATTATTTCTTATAATAATTTAATTAATGTTTTACTAAATTGATATGTAAAAAAATGTGCAGAGTGTATTTTATTGATGGTGCTGGAATGCAAAGAAATAAGAGTCAAAACATTGTTTTCATATCAACGGAGTCCATTTTTTACATTTAGACTCTTGCATCACTCCAAATGGTAATTTGCTATGCCGTTATTGGATGCAAACAAGTGAGCATTGTGATCCATGTTAGCAATTAATGACAATGTCATCATTATCATTGATCGCTAACATGGGATAAACTCATGCATGTCTTTCCTTCCCCGCCAAAGCTCTCCACAACCGAATGATCAATATAGGATTTCACAAATATAAAACAACTCAATCGGGTTTCATAATGAGAAGTTTGAAATATAAAAAGAATCATACCAATTCAAGCTCCTAAACGAGATTTTACGATCCACTGCTAAATCTATAATGAGGGTGTGTTCATTCTTGAGCTATTCAAGATTGACCTGCCCATTCACACAAAGTCACTTATTACGCCATTAAGAATTTAGGATGTGCTATATAACATTAACAACTCATATATATTTTCCGTTGTAGATTCACAATATAAAAATATCTCTAACAATTTCCCCTTTTGTGATCAGATGTTCTTTGTCGGCTTTTGAAAATCCTTCTGCATTTTGTAGTAGTTGCCTCGTAGTGCTAGAGCATGTTCAAAGTGGCGCATCATTCTTCTCTTTTTGAGACGTTCATTGATTGCCCTTAGCACCGCCTTCAGCCTATCAAATTCTTTTAGTTCAGCTTCAGAGGTATCAACAAGTCTTCGTTCAATTTCTTCTTTATTTGGTTGGATGTTGTCCCTAATGATCTTCAATGTCCCATCACAATACTTGACAATCTCATCAGTTATCATTATGTGTTTCTTACCTTCATAGTTGAGATAGATTATCGTCACTGGCTCGTCAAAAATGTAATACATACGGTGGAATCTCTTCAAGCTTAGGTGCGTATAGTATTGGCTCTGTGAGATTTGCCTTTCGAACGTTGTTCTCGAGGGCCATTTGGAGATCATGAGTGGCATGTGATGAGTGCCCTAGATACCAACTAAGTCCGAAGTGAGGTAAAAGTCTAGAGGGGGGGGGGGGACTTTTAAATCTTTTCGTTTTAAGCCCATTTTCCTCTAACAGTATGTGTTCCAATATCTTTTGGGAGATACTGAAACATGCAACGGAAGTCTTGCCCTCAAGAGTGTGACACTTTATAGAAACAAAGGTTATGACCCTTTTAGTTGTGAGGAGATTAATGGAATATGGTACAAATGTGTTTGCCAGAAACAGATGACTCAAGGAGCTGCTGAAACCTGAAGGAGCTGGCTGCCAGATAGTTTGGAGCTGACTGCCAAAACCTTTAGGAGCAGGCTCCCGAAATTAAGATTCTGCTTCAATCAGTTAAGAATCAGTTAAGATTTTGATTAAACCGTGATGGAAGTCATAGGGCTGATTTCAAAGAGAATGTTTAGTGGCTTTTGTACATTACTTTCATTCATATTTTGGTATTGTATAGATTCTATTGAGTGTATTATCTAAAGCAGATGCTTTCGTATTGATAGAAGACCTAGGGACACTTACCTCAAAGAAAAATGAAAATCCAATGTACGGGAGAGACTTTTTTGCCCAAGATCAATGACATATAAAGAATAATAGTAGAAAAACAATTTGGAGTTGACATAACACTCAAACCCGCAAACCATAGTCTAAAAATGACGCAATCATAAATGAAAGCAAGAGAAATATTACAAGATAAATTGTAAGTCAATTTTTTTTTCCAGAAATGGCTACAAAGTAAAGTCTACAAGTGCACATGCT